TGGCGGTGTCAAGCGAATCTCTGGCCTGATCTACGAGGAGACTCGTGGTGTTCTCAAAGTTTTCCTTGAGAACGTGATCCGTGATGCTGTGACATACACTGAACACGCCAAGAGAAAGACTGTGACAGCCATGGATGTGGTGTACGCTCTGAAACGACAAGGCCGTACTCTGTACGGATTTGGCGGTTAGATTGCACAGTCTGCCAACACAAACAAACGGCTCCTTTAGGAGCCACCAAATCTCTCAAAAGTCATGACCAAGAGTGAAACAGTTTGTTATTGCATTTAAGTGAAGTGAAAGTGTTTATGAGTCGTCAGGTATCTCTCGTATGATAGACCGTCGCACGAAAACTGAACATTTTTCTGTCAAATTGAAAGATTGCTCACTTGAGTTCTGATTGTAAACCTCGATGCGAATTGACAAAAGATTCTCATGTCACAATTATAACGAAACCCCCCTAACATAAAAAGGTCTTTTTTTATGAATTTACGCGCAGACTGAATTGGACAAAAGATAGTCGCTGACCATCAGTCTACTGCGAGCAGTCTCTTTTGCTCGAAAATCCCTTGGGAAGAACGCAAAGAAGTAAACGAGCGCAGCTCGAGGTTCCGCCGCTCGCATGTCACGCTCACTTGTTTTGTGTTCTTGAGCTTCGAGCAAAAGAGAGACTGCTCACACTCTATCAGTCTACTGAAAAAAATTAAAACACTGTTACAAATGAGCCTCTTGATGAAGGAGGAAAAAATTCACGAAGACTGCTGTGTTTAAGTTTGTTGATGAACTTCAAAGGATTTTCAAAAACGCGTCTTTTTCCCGATAATGTCGTGTGCACATTTGGTGCATGAAATATAAATATTAGCATGATGAAAGAATAAAGGCTAATAAAATTTAAATTTGCATTGTTTAGCTTGGATGTCCTGCGGTAGAAAAGCGTGAAAGACTTTTGGCCTGAGAGTAGCCTGCGTATCAATGAAACGTTCCCGTACGGGAACGCTTGCTTTGCAGGCTAGCCTGAGAGCGAAAAAACACACTGCTATGTGGCTGAGGCTCACTAGCTGACTCACAAAACGCAAAACAAATACTTGATCACTGGGGCTTGGGTCTGATATAAGCTCGGCCCATTTATCTAAAGAAAATAAACTTAAAAGTGGAAGAAATATTTTTGTTGATTGTGACTTTTCTAACATTTGGTGGCTCCTAAAGGAACCGTTTGTTTGTGAGTCAAAGCTTATTCAAGCTTTGGCTTTCTTCTCGGTCTTCTTAGGCAGAAGTACAGCCTGGATGTTGGGAAGAACACCTCCCTGTGCGATGGTGACACCGGCGAGCAGTTTGTTCAACTCCTCGTCATTACGGACAGCCAGCTGAAGGTGACGGGGGATGATTCTTGTCTTCTTGTTGTCACGAGCAGCGTTGCCCGCCAACTCCAGGATCTCGGCGCTCAAATACTCGAGCACGGCAGCCAAGTACACTGGAGCACCGGCGCCAACACGCTCAGCATAGTTGCCTTTGCGGAGAAGACGGTGGATACGACCAACTGGGAACTGAAGCCCTGCTCGGGATGAGCGGCTCTTGGACTTTGTGCCCTTTGCCTTTCCTTTACCGCGACCAGACATGATTGAAAATACAGTATACGTAGTATTCACGAAGATAAATTTCTTGGAGAATAAGGAAAAGCATAAAGCGCGCCGGATTTTAATTGCCGTTATTCAAGTGCAAAGGATCGAAATGCACCAATCAGAACTTTGCACTTGACAATATAAAACAAAGACTCCATGTGCTATAAACAAACCACATGCAAAATTTGACCTCAAAAGGTCGGTTAAGCTAAAATAACCAATCAGGAATAGAGCATTTCGATCCTTATGGTAATTGATCCTTTCTAAATTTTGTTATAAATACAAAATGCATCATCTTGAGTCTTCATTCAAATCCATTCTGATCTACAGACATGGCACCCAAAGTTGCAGGAAAGAAAGGCGAGAAGAAAGCCGGTAAGGCAAAGGCTGCCGCTGATGGAAAGAAGAAGAGAAGGGGAAAGAGAAAGGAAAGCTATGCTATCTACATCTACAAGGTGTTTAAGCAAGTTCACCCTGACACTGGTATCTCCAGCAAAGCCATGGGCATCATGAACTCGTTCGTCAACGACATCTTCGAGCGCATCGCCACCGAAGCTTCCCGCCTTGCCCACTACAACAAGAAATCAACCATCAGCTCCCGCGAGATCCAGACCGCCATCAGGCTGCTTCTGCCCGGTGAACTGGCCAAACACGCCGTGAGTGAAGGAACCAAGGCTGTTACCAAGTACACCAGCAGCAAGTAAACTCACCTTGTGGGTTTCCCGCCAAAACAAACGGCTCCTTTAGGAGCCACCAAATGATACAAAAGTCAATGACCAACTACAACTGACCTTCTTTCATTTCAAAGCGCAGAAATGAGAAGCGCTTGACACTTAAACTATCAATCGAAGTTCCTGAATTTTTTGCGATATTAGTTCTTCAGTCCAAATACTATTTCTAGACTACGAGTACTACCTCTTTCGCCTAGTCTGTCGCGAGTGACGCGAGAGAAAACCCAGGATTTCAGGCGGCCATTGTTTTACTCTCGGCCGATTTATTTAAGGTCTCGCTCGACTTACTAAGCGAAAGAGGGGCTACGCGTAGTCTAGTCTATTTCCCTTTATATGCTTTCCCTTAAGATATACAGCGGTACCTCGGTTTAACCCTCTTTACTTCAATATAACGAACGATGCCGGGCTAAAGTTAGGAAAACGTATAGGACAGAACTTCATATAAAAACGAATTTCAATATTAGTCTACAAACAGGTTCCATAGGTATCGACAGCTCATTATAGTTACAAATCATAACAGATCTGCATTATCCTCTTTGCCTCTTGTTTTTGGAAGAGTTCTTGTGATAACGGTAGCCAGAAATTTTTCTGGCACTAGTAGTTTTCTGTTGCATAGTGTTCG